TATTTGAATTAGAATATGAAGGACTGAATTTTTATGTGATATGTGTTGTTGGTAGCAAATAAGATAGTGGCTAAGACACTAAAATTGTCTTCATTAAACAACAAGATTGAGATAATCCAACTACTATAGAGTTTGATTACTTCCAAAAACCTATGAGTCTTTATCACACAATCATGAAGCAACCTTTGATTATAACATTTCTATGCATGCTGGTGAGTTAAAGTTTTGATATTTGTTTCTTTATTCTTTTTTTTGTATGTAGTTGGCCTAAGAATTGTATTCACCACTATATAGTATACACCTTGAACTATGGAGGATCATAATTCATTTTATCACCGTACTTGATGTCATGTTTAACTTTCAATATTCTTTATGTGTGTAACAGTATTGAAATCAACATAAAAATTATACTCACGAGCACCAAAATTGAAGCACGATTATGTCCAACCAATCATATGCCTTCAAGAATTCCAAAATACAACTCTTATAAAGTATATAATCTTATTTTGGTTCATGTTTTAATGTCATCTCGAAGATTTGTGGCATCTCCTTTTCCATCCTTCATAGTCTTTGCATGTTACCTGGTTCAGGTAGTGTGGTGTCAATATTGTGTTGTGGGGGCAAAACAACTACATTTCGTGATTGCACCACCACCCATAACACTTTTCTTAGCTATTTTCTCAACATGTCAAACTATTATAAATTTTAATTGATGAGTACAACTATTGATTTCAATTGTTGCATCATAAAAACAACTATAACACATTACATAAATTTAAATACATAAACAATACCAGACTTATACTTACCTCAATCACATTGCAGGTGGACTTCCATGCATTTCCTAGGTCAACTTCTCTAACACCTCCTCAGTCAACCTCTCTCATTCCTCCTAGAACCTCTCTCGTACCTCTTACAACAACCTCTCCTGCCCCACAAGATGTAGCCTCCCACGTTCCTCTTGAATCACTTCTTCAGTGCCTCCTGAGTCCACTTCTTTCGCTCTAGTTCTAATACTCCTTGTACTTTGTCCCCCACCCTTTGATCACTTATCTCTTCAATTTCTTATAGATTACATAGTTAATTTTTTTGCAATTATCCAAAATGTAACCTCAAGCTGACACCTTTTGCAAGACCACAGACACTAACGCGCCCACCAAGCTCCTCTGTTCTAATCGTTTCTACCAAGATGTCATGGCGTTCTCTTTGTTTCCTTTTTTCTTTAAGAGGTGTTTGTTTCATAGATACAAATGTTATTCTTGAGGATAAGACATTGGAATTCACATATTCCTTTGTTTGTTTTAAGTTTTAATAATTTATGCTTGGGTACTTTTTATTCCTAGGAATGTGTTTAGTTCATTAATTTCTTCATTTTTATTCCCATGTCAAAGGATGAGAATCTTACATTCCCATAAAAATATAAAGTAACCAACCATAACTTCCCACTCTCATGTTATTTTAGCACATTTATTTATTTATTTATTTTAAATTTTTAAAACTTAATTAAATAAAACATAAAAATATTCCTGTGAACTTTATTAATTTTCCAAACACATTGATAGGAATAAATTTCCTAGCAATATTATTCCTAGGAATGATATTCCCGGGATTATAATTTTAATCCATCAAATAAACACACCCTTAATCACTATCTATTTCAGTTTATCATTTCCTCCACGAGACAATCTATATGGATAAATATTTGTTTTCCCTATTATCTTTTTCTTTTTTACTCTTAGCTAAGAATTCACGTGTAGTGCCAGACTTGAAAAATCCATCCCAAATTTCCTTATCAATATACGAATAGATCACATAGGGAGGCTCTAAGTTACGCTTTGGTTTTATAATATAACCACTCGTGATTTGTGTCTTAAAACCTCTCTAACGCTCACCAGAATATCAAATCCATTATTCTTTTTTAGCATGTTATCCTTTGGAACAATAAACACTACATATGTTTACATAATAAAGTTGATATTATTATTGAATAAAAAATGATCATATATACTTGCAAAACAAATGATAACATTTAAATTAAATATCATAATATTGGTCCATAATTGATCTTTCACATCTTTAGAAACTTCGTGCCAATTATCTATCAAAATCTTGACTTTGCTTTTACATTGTACTGACACGTAACCCCTAAAACTATCAGGATTCTCACCATAAAGATCATCATTTATTGGACTAAAATCAACCGGGAAGCGAACACCACTTTCTTGGGATTTTGACACCTTGGTCATCATCGTGACACCTATAGCTTTTTTTTATATTTATTTTTAACTTTTAGTATTAGTTGAGGTTGTAGCAAATAATGTATGAGAGATGTTGATCGAATCGCCCATCTCTGTGTAACCTAAGAACTATACTACTCAAATCAACAAATATATGTTAAGACACTTAATGCATATGAATTATACTATACTCATGGTACACTTCCTAAGAGCATATATTCTCAAACTAACATTATTCTAGAAAAACAACATTGAAAGAAAAACAACATTTCTATCAACATTTAAATGGTCAGTACGTAACACCATTTTATTGAACTAACACTATTCAAGGAAAAAAAATTATATCAACATTTCAGTGGTCTGTGACACCATTTTCTCAAACTAACACTATTAAAGAAAAATAATATTTATATCAACATCACAGTAATTAGTGACACCATTTTCTCAAAATAATACTAGATAAAGTGAGTTACACACCAAAAAATATGGTGACAAAGCTTCGTTCGAGTTAGCTTGGAAGAGTTGATGTTCGAGTTCATGTTGGGAGAGCTGTGTTGGAAGAGATGATGGAATCTATGTTTTGATGAAGATGAAATTTGCCTAAGTTTTTTTTTAAAGAAAATGACGATGAAACGAGGAGTTTTGATAGGAAAATGAAAAGTTTGTTAGAACAAGATCTGTTCATGATATATATCCTTAGTTTTGATGATAATATAAGTATTAAAAGAATAATGGTATTATCTAATGTGTGTTCAAGTATGCAGGTTCTTATACTTAAAAGATATATTCAGAATCTGATATGAAGGCACACTTGAGTGAAGTTGAGTTACGTTGTTCTGATGACACAGAATCTAAAAGAACACTTGTTAAGTGCTATCCGGTGGAGACTTTGAAGCCGAAGGCCTCAGCATCAAAAGAAGCAACACAATGTTTCTACACTTGGTAATTGTATTGGCTTCTGGTGTTTCTTTAGAAGCTTTAGCGAAGCTGAAGCTATCCGTACTGCAGAAAGAAAGCTGTAGTGTCAAATCAGCTCGTCAGCTAGAGTCTATGATCACAAGGCTCAATAAGAGTTGACATGCTTTACGGATAACCACTCTCTACGGTTAAAGAAGCATTTCAAAAATTTGTTTGCATCGAAAAATGAGCGAACCACTGCCACTGCTTCACTGGTAACTGGTTACCAAAAAGAGCGTAATCATTTACACCTGAAGTGGTGTAAAGAACTTTGAAAATTACACGCATATAACCGGTTACAGGAAATATGGTAACCGATTACACCAACTAAAAAATGCCAAAAATGTTAACGTTAAAGTCATGTAACCGGTTACAAGAATTGTAGTAACCGGTTACCATTGCTTTGAAGCAGAAAAATACCTTAGAAAAATGAGGTTAGCCAAGTTGATGCAAGAAAAAATTAGTAATGTAATATGCTAAGTTTTTGCATGAAATTTTGAGCACTTATATTCGACATAAAAAGGGTGTAAACTTATACCTTGAAATATCATAATCAATCCTCAAAAGGATCCAAAACTTGATCTTTAAAATTTGAAAACTAGACATTATTACACTAGCTCTTAACATGAGCCTTGATCCATTCTTTTTTATATGAACACATTATTGTAGTTTGTCTTCATCAAAACTATCATTTGAAAAAACTTGTCTTCACAAAAACTTTATCTTAAGAGTTGTGCTCCCTACCCAAGGATCCTCTCAAAAGAAAGTTTGATAACCCAAACCCACTTTCTGAGTAATGCAATCATAAAACTAATATAATCTACAAATCTTTTTTGACTCAAGAAGCGATATCTCTTTTCACTAAGATGAAGAATAACGAAAACCCATATCCCTACCTCCCATAAGAGAGTAGATAGAGATACCACCATATCTAGCTACCATAATTTTCTTCCCGAGCCCTAAATCCCCTAAAAGAAATCTCCATCTCCACTTTGCTAAGAAAGCCAAATTAACCAATCAGAAATCTCTTACACTTAATCCCCCTTTTTTCTTAGATTTACACACATCATCTAAATTCACTTAGGAGGCCTTATTTTTATTTTTCACACCTCTTCGAAGAAAACCCCTTTTTAAAGGAACTGTCTTCTTCCAAACCATAACAAACATCTTTAGAAAAGACAACAACAACAAAAATTACAAATAACATTAAGCATTGAATTAAGAAGAACAGCTCTACTTTTAGACTTACATATATGCTTTCACGAACTGAGTCTTTTTTTCAACCAAACATTCAAATAAAGGCTCCCAAGTTGACTCAAGACGAAGGTTTTCCTCAACATGCAGGCCAAAATACTTAATAAGGAAGAGATGCCATCTCAGTGTAAAACTAATTTACTTAAAAGGAAGAGATGTCATCTCAATATAAATCAGTTCTCAAAAGGTACAGTATAAGTATCTCGATACAATTTGTTAAAATGTTAAAAACTTAATGACTATAACCCTACATAAGCTTTATCCATATATATTACAAAAAGTGTCCTTTCAAAATAATATATATTACATAAAGTACAGAACACTTTTTAAAAATTACATTTTAGAATAATAGAATAAATATCATTAGTCAGTATAGTATGGTCTATTAGTTCGGGTTATCTGTAGGGAATAGCATGCAACTTGTGAAAGCTATCCATTCGCAACTTGCAAAGTTAAAATGACAGTGTAACCATGTGTGTGCATATATATAGAAACACTGGCACTTTGAAACAAATCACAAATATTTTTCCCCTAAAATACAAATTCCAAGTCATGGAATATACCTTAAAGGTTTTGTGTTTTTTTTCTATACTCTATTCCGTTTTACAACTTTCCAAGTTGATTCTTAAACGTAGAAACCAATCATGTTTCATGTTAGCCTATGAGTGTTTCAAACCAAAAGAAGAAACAAAACTCAACACAAACACATGTGCCAAAATAGTCCTAAGAAACAAAAACCTTGGTCTAGAGGAATACAGATTTCTCTTGAAAACCATGGTTAGTTCAGGAATCGGTGAAAACACTTACTGTCCAAGAAACGTTCTTGAAGGAAGAGAAGCATCTCCAACTCTCAAAGACACGTATGAAGAAATAGATGAAATCATGTTTGATACACTCGACAGCCTTTTCGAAAGAACATGTTTCTCTCCTTCAGAAATAGATATTCTTGTTGTTAATGTTTCATTGTTTTCACCAATACCTTCGCTCACAGCAAGAATCATAAACAGATACAAAATGAGACAAGATGTAAAAGTCTTCAATCTTGCAGGAATGGGGTGTAGTGCAAGTGTTGTAGCTATTGATCTTGTGCAACAGCTTTTCAAAACATATGAAAATTCCTTAGGAATTGTTGTTAGCACAGAAGATCTCGGTTCTCATTGGTACTGTGGGAAAGAAAAAAAAATGATGTTATCTAACTGTCTTTTTCGTTCAGGTGGTTGTTCTATGCTATTCACAAATAAAACGGAGCTGAAACATAAAGCTATCTTGAAACTGAAACACATGGAGAGAACACAGTACGGTGCTGATGACGAAGCTTACAGTTGTTGCATACAAGTGGAAGATGAGGAAGGTTTTGCAGGTTTTCTACTAACCAAAAGTCTTGTTAAATGTGCTGCACAAGCTTTGACAGTAAATTTGCAGAGTATGGTTCCAAAGATTCTCCCACTTTGGGAACTGGTACGGTTTTTCACAGTTTCTCTACACAACAGTATCAAGAAAATTCAGTTGGAAAATATTTTTTCAGCAATTTTTAGCCACGGCGCTAAAACGGTTAAAAAACCGATATTTAATGTGTTAGGAGGTGGAATAAACTTAAAAACTGGTATAGAACATTTTTGTGTTCATCCAGGTGGTAGAGCAGTTGTTGATGGAGTTGGCAAGGGCTTAAAATTGAATGAATATGATCTTGAACCAGCTAGAATGGCGCTTCATCGTTGGGGTAATACTTCTGCTGGTGGATTATGGTATGTTTTAGGTTATATGGAAGCAAAAAAGAGACTTAAGAAAGGTGATAGAATTTTGATGATTAGTCTTGGAGCTGGTTTTAAGTGTAACAATTGTGTTTGGGAAGTGATGAAAGATTTATCTGATACCAATGTTTGGAAAGATTCTATTGAAACTTATCCTCCACCTTCACTGAATAATCCTTTTAAGGAGAAGTATGATTGGATTCATGATGATTATCTTGGCTTTGTGAGGTTAGATACTAGCAGGATGAAGATTGATTAAAAGAATTACTCATCATCTTGATTATCATACAGAAAGATATAATTTGATTGTGCTAGGAGAAACAAAGAAGGAAAACTTACATATACAAATTTTAAGAAGTTGTGGTTACTTTTTGGAATATTTGTTCTAGTTTTTTTTATGTTTAAAGATATTATAATATTGTATTATTTGGTTAGAAGAGGTGAAAAGCAAGTTTAACCTCACAACCTTGTATGCTATTGATAATGAAATAAAGTTTGTCATTAATATGTGTATATCATATTTGGTGAATATTAATTAAATATTTAAATTTATGGTAATTATAAAGACTAATCTTTCTAGACAGATCTCAATAGCACACATAAACCAAACACATTCAATTTGCACAGAACATATAAGACATGAGCTGGTTCTTCACCTCTCTTAATAAATAATGTTTCAGTCTAAAAGTACTATTTGAACTATGAAACACTCACCTACATGAGGTTCATGAAGATTGTGTTTCATTGATTACACAGGAGAGAGGATGGTGTGAACTAAAAAACCTCATCACTGGCTTAGAAAAAGAGGTGAAGCATTCAATGGTTCCGTAGTCCTTAGTTATTATGGTCATAAATATAATACTACTATGAAAAATAGGTTTCTTAGCCTCTGTGACATTATTTATTGCATTGGGTCTCTCTTTTTCCTATTCAATCATGTACTCTGCCATATTCATCAATAATAAAACGGCTGGATTTTATTTTTTCCGTACTGTACTGTGACATGCATAAATATTTTTAGTGTCGAGTTTGTAATTTCTTATGTCGAAGTAGGTATAATTCGACAAAAATAAAGATGTGTCGAAATTAACATAGTATGTGTATGTGTCGAGTTGTGTTAGATGTCAAAGTGTTAAAGTAGATTGTTTGACACAGGATTTCGACTTAGACCAAAATAGAAATTTTAAGCTTTTATAATTTTGGGTTTTACCTTATAGAGCAAGCTAGCTCAATTATAAATAGGGAGTAACCGTATCATGAATTGTAAGAAACACACAACAGAAAGTGCAGTTGAACAATTGAATAATATTTTCTAAGTTTGAGAGCAGAGAGTTACTCTGTAGAAATCATTTTTTTCTTCCTCAATTTTTGTTAAACCCTAATCTTCTTTCTTATTCAATTTTCTTTCTTCTCCTTCCATCAACAACTGCTATGCAAAATCATTCTTATAATCAAGGTGTGATTGATTCACTCAAGTGAAGAGTGAATAACAAATGATTTCGATCGGTTGATTGAATCTTGTTCATCAAGATTACCTTAGAATTACTCAAAGTTTTGGGTTAATTCCAACATCTAGTATCTAGAGCACTGGCTGAGCGATTCATGGAAAGAAAATTATGATGGCAATGAATCATCCAAACATATATTTTCCGGTGAATCTTCTGATTCTCAAGAACAATAATTATGAGAATTGTTGCAAGCAGATGAAGGTTGTTTTCTGTTATCAAGATCTTTGGGTTCTTGTGAAGGAAGGAGTAAACATCACTTGCAGAAAATGCGAAGGATCAACAAAAGACTGCATACAAAGAATTGAAGAAGAAAGATTATAAAGCTCTCTTTATAATTCATCAATGTGTTGATCTAGATAATTTTAAAAAGAGAATGGAACATTCTGGAGAAATCGTTTGGAGGCGCAGAGAAGGTGAAAGATGTGAGGTTACAAACTCACAAAAGGACGTATGAATTGCTTCAGATGGAAGTTAGTGAAAGCATAACTGATTTATTCACTAGGGTTACTAAATTGATGAATTAAATCAGGGTATGTGAATAAGTGTTGACATCAAGATCAGTTATTGCAAAGATCTTGAGGACATTGGCTCCATAGTTCGATCACGTGGTAGTAGCCATAAAAGAGTCGAAAGATTTGTTAACATTGACAAAGGAAGAGCTTCAAGGAACTCTTGAATCACAGGAACAAAGAATGAGTGAAAGAGCTGCAGGCAAGTCGAAGAATAATATGGCTTTGTGGTGAGAATGAATACTAAAAATAATGAGGCGCCGCTGATCTAACCCCTACTGATCTACCCCCTACTGATATGACCCCTACTGATCTAACCCCTACTGAGCTAACCCCTACTGATCTAACCCCTACTAAAATAATCTAACCCCTACTGATCTAACTCCTACTAAAATAATCTAACCCCTACTAAAATAAACTAACCCCTACTATATCTTTGTTAAGTGAAAATTCTACCGTGATTGTTTATGAACCTACTGAAAATAATGAGTAACCCCTACTAAAATAACCCCTACTGATCTAACCCCTACGGATCTAACCCCAAGAAACGAAACGAGTTGAAATTTTATGAATTGGAGACGGTGAAGGTAGAGACTCGGCTTGGAGATTTAGACTTGCTAAAATTTCAGCATATTTCTCAACAATCAGATTATCTCGTTCTTGATGTACCGAACGACCACTTGCCCCGTTACATTGGAGTAAGAAGCAACTTCCACCCACTTGGTGAAGTAACAGATTAAAATGTTGTTAGTTTGAAGAAAGGAGGATCGTCGTCAACATTGGGGTTGATGCATAGATTAAGAAAAGAGGATATTCTTCAGCACGAGGGTTGATGCATATATGAAGAAATGAGTTTCTTCATCAACACGGTCCCTCCTTCTTGATACGAATCAACCCTCTTGTTGGCGATGATCCTTGTGAGGCAACGAGGAAATGAATTCGAACCAAACAAGGGAAAATATATTAAGATTACTATATCTTTGTTAAGTGAAAATTCTACCGTCATTGTTTATGAACCTACTGAAAAGGATATATAACCCCTACTAGGATATATAACCCCTTCTGAAATTTTTTGCAATTTTCCGCTTCTATACGGAATGACGGTCGCCCTTTGCACACGGTGATCACGGTTTGTTCCTGGAGCGAACAGATTCTTGAGGCTGTGCAGGTGTGGGACTCAGTGGTAACCGGTTACTCCAAAACCAGTAACTGTATGTTAATCGTTAATTCAGTAACCATATCGATAGATGCTAATACTAACATTATACGAATTAATAACTACCTAGTGACTCCTCGGTAAATCGAGCTGCGTCGAGGCAGAGAAGTTCTCGAAACACTCTTCCTGGTCCGTTTCGCCTTTTTTGTAACGGTATTACTTGCACTCACATCATTGCTAACATTGTCTTTCTCGATTTGCTTTTGCGATTTTTTCGCCATTGGACAAATAACTCTCTAGCTTTTGCATTTGCATTGCATTGTGGGTAATTCGATCTTTTTTCCTTTCTTTGGACAAATAAAAGACCGGTTGTAATGAATTAAGGTTCAAGCTCATCAATAGCTTGGTATCCAATTTTCACCGCGACAGGGGTAGTATAGCCTGTCTAGGGATTTGGATTTCGTGCCTTTTGTCCATTAGATATATTCAACCATTATGATAAAAATGAATGTATTAGTTTTTCTTAAATTAAATGAAATAATTAATTTGACTAGAAATTATATGGTATGTATATAGTTAACTATCGTTGAAAAGAAAGATACAAATTGATGGTTGAATATATCTAACGAACATGAGTCTTTCCCGCATGAAAGGTAGGAAATCCAGATCTAGAAGTATAGTATAGATTTGACAAATTAGAAAAGTGGAATCCTAATTCAATTTACATGTGTTTGTAAGTTTAGAGGTTGAGTTAAATATTAAATAAGTAAACCTGATATCAAATTAAGAAAAGGAACCAACTCGATGACCCTAAGTGAGGTCAAGTCCAGTGATCTAAATAATCTCGTGTCACGCCCGTTAGGATCCGCCGAAGACAAATCAAATTTGGAAATTACAGAATTGGATTTTGACATTAATAGTGATGCTCAAAAGGAAGCTATTGTTCAAATTACTTAAACAATTTTGGTCGTATATTGTCATGCAAGCCACATAGGAGTTTTATTTTCATCTTTTGCTGCAACTCGACTTATATATTGTGAACATCGAAGTTGTCAAAAAACTTGATAACTTCTCGTTGAACTGGAATATAATCCTTCTGATTGTTTTCTTCTCTAATCATGGAAAATCCCATTGTAACACCCGAGACCGAAAATGAGAGTGGTTACATGTAACACCCGAGGGCGAATGAGTGGTTGTCAATGCACAAGGCATGATAATGAGAAACTCATGGCAGCTTCTAGGAAAAAAAAATCAAATTCACATTGGAATGAGAGGGATCTAGAGGTTGTGCAGGTATGAGACTACAAAATTTCTCATGATAAGTCGCATGATATGAATGTTGATACCGATAAGTCACTTCATATGAATAACACTATAAATAAATCACCTAGAGTGAATGTTGTTGATGATCAGTCACTTAATGTTAGTATTGTTGGCAAAAACCTTCAGGAAAAAGGATTTGAAATTTTTTTCTTGAAAAGAAGCCAAGGATAATAGGAAAACCTTGAAGCTTGTATCTGGTTTGGCAAACACTTTAAAGTAGAAGAACAAGGAATTGGAACAAACAGCAAGCAAGTATGATGAGGTTAATGTGTCACTAACCAAATTAATCAAACAAAAAAAGGAGATGATTGAACACTTTAACAAAGCTATGTTGCTACTGAAAGTGAATTGTTCCAATTAATATCAGTATCCTATTTTACTATATTTAGAAGAGAAGCATGACAAAATAAAATACATATATACTAGTGCTGTTGTGACTGACGAATGATGTCCATCGGGTCTCCTCCTCGACTGACCCTGGCTCGATCCCTCGCACAGGCTCCCCTCTGAGCAAGCTCAATAATCCTCTCCATGACACGTCTAACCTCAGAGCCCTCCAGGAAATGGCCGTCTGAAATGGACTGTCGCGCTATCTGCTTTATCTCAGTACAGATAGGTACGACATCCTGCGACCGATCCAGCTCGTCCAAGATCTCCTGATGAGCAGGCTTGGGTGGCGTTCCCTCAGCAGGGGGCGTCATCAATGGATGTGACACCTGATAGTACCAGATAATGTACCCGGCAGCCACACTCCAGTCTCTCG